ATTAGAAAGATACTGAAATAAATAATGAAGGAAAGCTAACCCGTGTGGGAGAGGCACCTTGTCATGAATAAGTGAGTGGGGTGAAGGGGTGCCTGTAATCCCACACTGATAATCCATAAACCAGAGAGGACTCTATTTTATTTCTCCTTTCACATAAAGTAAAGCCTCAATTCAGACTTCACCAATTATTAACTCGTGATCGGGCAGAAAAGTTCTGGAATAAAGATTAATACTGTGCAGTCACTGAAAAAAGAAACTTGATAACCAAATGAAGAATGAAACAATTATTTTTAAGCCTTTTAGAAATATTTAATTTCATGCAACCACTGAAACTGCAAATTATTCTTAGCCATCAGAACAGACAGTTATTTGGCTTTGGCTCTAGTCATTTCATACACTTAAAAATAGTAAAGCTAAATTTTGAAGAAATATATTCTATTAGCCACCGTTTTCCAACATTCAGGCTAGTCTTCCTTCTTCTTACTAAGGTATTTAACAGTGATGGTAGTGTAAAAAACTGTATATAAGCAAAATAAACAAAAATACACTTCTACTTGGATTCTCTCCAGAATTTATCTCATATAATCAAAAACAATTTCCCTTTCTCTAAGCCAGTGAATTCCAACAGTATTGTTCTTGTTACTCTATTTTCTCCAACTAAACTTACCTACTTGTCCATTACATAAAGCAGACAAAAAAGTTAAATTCTGTAGATTTTAACTTTTTTAATTCTGCGGTGTGCCAAGATGCAATCGTATGTGAAGAATGGGTTGTTGGTGGGTAATAATGAGGCTGGGCTGCACAAGCCACTGGACTCTATGGGAATGCTCATGAAGGTCACTGGGCCAATTGTGTCAAGATTATGGCTTCCTACCCAAAAAGGCTGAGCTGATAATGAAATTTCTCACCAGCCCTCTAGATTGGGCATAAGGGCATAAGATTCTACATAATAGTTATGATCACATTAGAGAAATCTTATATTCTTTAGTTATCTGAGATTAAAATACCAGTTATAATGTATAGTATATTGTTCTATTTTAAGGCATTTGACTTTCAAAGACATTTTTCAATATTGTACAATAAATCAAAATTAAAACTATATCCTTATAACAGTAAGTAGGACATACTATTTTCATGTTCAGAAAGGAAAATTGAGGATCAGAAAGGCTAAGTTATCAAGGCTTACAGGGTGTCAGGGGAAATTAAAGTTTTAATATGAATTTGTAAGATCCCAAATCCATGTTATTTCTACTCTAGCACACTGCCACTCAAAGATGGCACAGACTCTATCTGCAACCAGCTCACAGCCTAGAACTCTACACAATTAATAAGTTATAAAGTAAAGGGTATAATGTTGGACTAGTGTATAATGCAAACATAGTCATATGCTTCTTCTGTAATAAAGCAAAAAAGATGTGTTTAAAAGGAAAATGTAAAGTATCACAAGAAAGGCAAAGGTTGGGTAAAAAAAAGAAGATTTTTAAAAGCTGGAAAAGACATTTAGAAAAGATGGCATTTCAGGTGTTGAAAACAAATATGACTTTGATATCCAGAGGTGGGATGGGACCTTTCAGGTGGGAAAAAGAACATGAACAAAAGGCACAAAAAATGGAAATGATAAGGCATACATATAGAGCAGCAAATCATTCAGATCTGCTAAAGTAGTGTTTCCTACATTTCCTTGGTATGAATTCCTCTGGAATTCATTAAAAGCACAGCTTCCCAGTCCCCTCACTTGGAAATTCTAATTCAGTGGGTCTGAGATAAGGCCTAGGATTCTTAATTTTTAAAAAGTATGTCAAGTGATTTTTATCACCAGGAAAGTTTAACAAGTACTAGTTGAAAGAGCAGAACTGGTGAAGAAGAGTCATGAAAGTTGAATCTTGAAATAATAGGACAAGAGATTTGGCCTTATGTATATAGTAAACAGACAGTAAAAATAACATTTTAAGCTTCAGGAAGGCTGCTCTGGTAGTGGAAGGAATAGGAGAAGGGAGATGGGAGACCAGTCTATAGACTACCATACCAGTCCAGTCTAGAGATACTGAAGGCTGAACAAGGGTAGTAGCAACAATAAATTAAAAGGAAAAAATAGATTTGAGAGACAGATACATCTTGGATAAAAAATTGCTAGGACAGCGCAATGAAAAAATATGTGAAAAAATCACAACGGAATCTAAAGTCCTTCTTTGGAAGATATTGACACCAAGGAATACGAAATCACAAAATAAGAAGTTTGAGAAGAAAAAGATAGTGAGTTAAGACTTGGCCAGGGCTTGAGAAACTAGTGTCCAATAAACAGCTGGAGAAAAAAAGAGTAAACCAGCCTAGAGACATAGACGTGAGGGTCAGATACAAGCATTTGATGATAACTTTATTACAAAGCACCCCCTGTGAAAGAGCCAGATGAGAAAACTATGATGACACAATACTAAGATAATAATACTCCTTTGATAATGAATGGTATTTGGGTTGTAATTTTTTTGGCAGAGAGAAAAGATTTTACTCAGTCCTTCTAAAAGTGTTTAGTGTTTTTCAGGTTTAAGAAAGAAAATAAAGAGCAAGACAGCACTATCTGTGGTGGTATCCTTGCACATTTCAATCTGAAATGCAAATTGCTTTTGGAGTATAAGTCCACAATATTCAGTATAATTTAAACATCGTTTTCTACTTTGCACAGTAGAAAACAGCAGAAGGAACATAATCTTTGAACATTTAACACATGCTGCTGTTACAAATAGAAAAAATTCATAGTAATTTCCTAGTCAAGTCTATCTCAAAGTAATTGTGAACAAAACTTACTTTAGACTAGAAATTTAGTTTCAACAAAAAAAGCTGGCAGAAAAACTTTCTCCTGCCCTTGCTCTCTAAGGCTGCTCAACCTACTATCTAGGACCCTATGGGATTTAGGGAAGGACAATGGGCCAACTGCCTTCCCCAGCTGCCTTCTACCCTAGAATGCTATGCCACCAGTGAAATATCTCACCAACCTTTGAGATGTCTTGGGCTTGAAGGAGACAGCGTCTACAGCATTCATAATCATATGAGGGATTAACTAGCTAAAAAAAACCCTCAGTTCAAAATTCTGATTCTACCACCTCTTAACTGCATGATTGTGGACGAGTGATTTAATCCTCTCTGAGTTTCACTTTCTTTATTCCACAAAATAAGGAAAATAATATCTGTATTGCATGGTTGTTATAGGGATTACATAAAATAAATAGTATAGTTAGCAGATAAGAAAATAAATTACTGTACTGCAGTATGATAAATGCTTTGATGGGAATAGACAGATTATCATGGAAAGAAGTACCTAGCTTAGCCTGGGTGGGAGTTCAGTGGCAGGGAGAGGTAGAAGTAGTAGAAGGTGATAGTAGAGCTAAATCTTAAAGGAAAAACACTTTAAGGAGAGAGCACACTCCCAGCAAAAGGAAAAACAAGGGTGGGGGAGCTGTGAGGAAGGTAGGGTATGCAAAGAAACTTGACATCTTTAGAAAACATCAATGAAAAGGAACCCTGACAATTTCCATATCTAACATTCGTGGTTTTGTCCATTCACAAACATAACCACAGAATCATGACACATAGTAAATCATTTTGATGAGGCATAAATTTGAATCATGAACAACGCAAGACTAGTAGTGCACTGACATCTAAAGAAGATGACTCTTCGGATATTCAGGTGACAGTGATTGGTGACATTAAGGAATTGGGAAATGAAGCTTTTGTAAAAAAATGAATTCAGTTTTGACATCTAAAGTAGAGACGTTTCCTAAAGCAGCTCTGAACAAGGGAAAAGAGCGCAGGAGAAATATTTGGCCTTATCTCCTAGAGTTTAGAATGTTGGTGTATAGGTAAGTGGAAAATGAATCCATCCCATCAAATACATCACTCAAGGATACAATAAAAAGCAACAAAAAATTATGTCCAAAACATTTCATATACGCACCCATTTTAATTACATTTTAACACAAGGGGTATTAAGTAGAATGCTTACTAAGCGTCCAACATTAGCCTACAAAAACCATGCTCACTAATAAGGGAATATGTGGATAAAGAAGTAAAAATAATAATAATAATATGCTTTTAATTCAATGTTATTGTTAGAGTTGGTAAGAAATAGATAATTACGTTAAGCAAGTAAGGCTCATAGGTTATAAAGTTTTAATTACAACAATAAAGACTATGAACCTAATCCTTTAGGTCTCAGTATTCACTAATTTTCAAAAAAGAAAGTCATATCAGAACCTTTAGGAGTAGAAACCCTTGAAGATAGTTTTCCTGTAGTATACATACCAGAATTACTGCTCTAAACAGTGGCAAGACACTGTGTTTCAGTAATGAGTATTATGATGCAGGCAATATTCAAGAAAACCACATGTAAAGGCCTACAGGAAGGACTAGCAGAATAAAAAGGCCAGGAGGTGCTACATAATTCAAGGACATGGATTTAATAGTTACAAAGACCTGGGTTCATTTCCCTGCTGTAGCTACTTATTGGTTATGTTACCTTGAGCAAATTATAAACTATAGCTGAATTTATTCATGAGTAAAATGAGGATAATAATACCACTGATCTCAAAGGGCTGTGATGAGAATGAAATAAACAAAATATATATAAATAACATTAAAATGAATATAAGAGTTTTGGAATGCGACTGTTTATAACAGTAATGATAATAATCATTATCATCTATCATACTACCTGAATAAACAGCAGTTAGGATCTGAATCATAAAGTCTGACCATTCAAAAAACTGCAAGTCTAGTTCAAACTGACTTTTAAAAAATGCCAACATTAAACATAAATGAACACTACAATTTTATATGGATAATCTCAAAAGTTGCAAATATTACTGACCACAAATCAATTTACAAATCCAATGAACACTTACTGAGCCTGCCTCATGTGAAACCTGCTGTGCCAGACATAGCAGGAGATACAATAGTAAGATATAGACCCTAATCTCTTTTATAAGTTAGAACAAATTAAAGATTACCTGACTAACTCGATTTACTTCCTCCTCTTCTTCCTCAGCTTCCTCTCCAAATGAAAGTAAACTAAAATTTCTAGTCCAAAAAAAAGAAAGAAAAAAATAGAAAGAAAAAGTCAAATCAGACTTATAAATACCTTATTTTCAGAGCAAGAAAACAGAATTTACAAGAAGAAATACATTCTGACTGTTGTAAAAAAGACCATATTACTCAGTATTCAGCAGAAATATTTTAATGATCTATATTTTCAGTATGTTAAGGCTTTTGCCTCACAGCACCATGTTTCCCATATCATACTAACTTTTAATGACCAAAATCCCTCCTGAGCTAAGGGATCCCTTCTGTACTGAGTCAAGCATGACAGAAATAATTAAGCTTTTTATATTTATCAAACTGGTAGCAAAATGGGGGTTTCTGAAAAACTAATAAGTATATATCCCTGAGTGCTACAAATGGGAAGCAATTAATCTAGTATTGGGCAAAATATTTTTTAATATTTTAAAATTAATATGTATACAAAATTGTCAGAGAAAAAAAATATGAGCAATAAACAACTAAAATAGCCCACAAGGAGAAAAAACTACATTTGTCTCCTCTGATTCATCAAACAAAAGTAATCTCAAGTAAGATAAACAATAAGTTACTAAAACTCTCTCTCAAATAGAAAAATTAAAGATATGGCAGCAAAACAGATTTTTTTTTTCCCCAAAACCTAGAAGCAAGCAATGACCAACATATCATCCCTAACATATTTGCTGGAAACAAAAACAAAGCAAAACACACCAAAAAAAACGACTTTAGAGTTTATTGTTAAGATAAATCATAGCGATGACATACTGTATGTGAATATAGTGACAGTGACCTTTCATCCAGAGATAGACTAATCAAAATAAGCTGATCAAAGAAATTTTAAAAATCAAATAAATATTTCCAATAAGCAGTCATTTTGCCACAAGGAATTAACTGCTTATTAAAGTGTCTGGTCATATCTGACAGTTTATAAAACAATTTAACTTTGTATTTGTAGGATGTCAACGAAAAAGGCTAATAGGTATTGAATGCTTATACTACTGGGTGTTTTAACATACCTCTTCTCATGTAATCCTCATAACAACCAGAAGTTGAACTTATTCTAATCTCCATTTTATAGGAAGAGGTAACTGAAGCTTAGAAATTTGAATCCACTTTGCTTTTCATTAACTAGGTTTGGCAGGATTATATCTAGAATTGATCAAATCTAATAATTATAGGTACAATAAAATCCCTAATAAGGATCCTACAGTTCAAAGAATACGTTGAAATCTAACTCTTGCAGTATATACAGACAGTATTAATAATGTAGAATATTGTCCAAAATAATGAAATTTATATTTATTCCTATTCTTTGGAAAATTATCTTCTGGAAATAAACCAGAATACTGAATGAAACAGCTTTATATTTTAAAATGTTTATGATAAGATTATTTTTAATGGCACCAAAAAAGGATTGAAAAGTTAAATACAAGTTAAATTGCATAATGCAATCATGCAGTCATTAAAAATATTCTTTATACTTTTCTCTACTTTCTATTTATACTGAGTGAGCATATATTAATTTTAAAATAAGCAACAAACAAAAGTTTCTCAACAAATCATTTATATAAATAATTGTTACAGGGATCATAAAATATGTATATATTTATTAACACAGATTTCATATGAACAACTGAGATGACACGTTTGTAGCTTAAGTTTAAGATATACTGCACCTGAATACAAAAGTTGCTCATTTAGGAAAACAAACAAACAAAAACCACACTAATATGGGTTGGGCTCTGTGTCCCCACCCAAATCTTATCTCGAGTAATTCCCATAATCCCGACGTGTTTTATGGGAGGGACCTTGGTGGGTGGTGATTGGATTATGGGGTGGTGTCCCCAAAGCTGTTCTCATGATACTGAGTGAGTTCCCATAAGATCTGATGGTTTTACAAGTGTTTGACAGTTCCTCCTTCACACTCGCTCTCTCTCCTGCTGCCTTGTGAAGAAGGCGCCTGCTTCGCCTTCCTCCACGACTGAAGTTTTCTGAGGCCTCGCTAGACATGCGGAACTGTGAGTCAATTAAACCTGTTTCCTTTGTAAATTACCCAGTCTCAGGTATATCTTTACAGCAGTGTGAAAACTGACTAATACAACCAACACACTCATAATTCCAATATCTCTCAGTCTCTGGCATGTCTTTATAGCAGTGTAAAAATGAACTAATACAACCACACACTCATAATTCCAATATCTCTCTGGTTCAAACTGGCCTCTGCTTTGCTAGTAAACAATTACTATAAAAGGAAATAAAGTAAATTAAATGAATGAGTGTCATTTTTCAAGCTGAAGAAAAATCTCTCCACTATGATTACTTTGTGCCTTTGGGTTTCAATTTCTTTACTTCCTCCTCTGGTTTCTCTTTTTTCGGCCTTTTAATTTCCCTTGGAATGATGTCATCAAAAGGATTAAACAAAACCTATGAAAAAAATATTTTGAAAACATTATTCCATTTTTAACATTTCACAAAAAATTAAACCCAGTATGTAATTCCATTGGTATAGTGTCTATATTTTTTCCAACACAAACATTATCAGTATAGTGATATATATTTACTACACAACATGCTTCCACTTACACGGCCTCATTGGTTTCTCTCAATAATCCTATGTGCTATCAACTAAGGGATATTTTATCCCCATTTTACAAAAGGGAAAAATATTTAAGAAAATGTAAATGATACAGAGTAAGCAAGACCAACTCAGATGCTTTGATTCCAAATCAAGTATTCTTATTTTTGCTTCCTCAATGAAGGATCACTCTTTTTTTTCTTTTTTTGAGATGGAGTCTTGGTCTGTCGCTCAGGTTGGAGTGCAGTGGTGTGATCTCGGCTCACTGCAACCTCTGCCTCTCAGGTTCAAGTGATTATCCTGCCTCAGCCTCCCAAGTAGCTGGGACTACAGGCGCGTGCCACCATGTCCAGCCATTTTTTTGTATTTTTAGTAAACACAGGGTTTCACTGTGTTAGCCAGGACGGTCTCCATCTCCTGACCTCATGATCCACCCACCTCGGCCTCCCAAAGTGCTGGGATTATAGGCGTGAGTCACTGTGCCCAGCAGATCACTCTTAAATTACCTATGAAGTCACTTCTTTGGGCTAAATAAACCTAATTTCTTTAACTTTCTATTATGAGGTAAGCTTTTCAGTCATTGGATTATCAGATAAAGTTTCATCTTTGAATTAAAATCTTTAATTTAAAAAATTATTAACTAGAAATTGTGCCCAAATAAATCAGAGATAAAATTTGAAGTGTGATGTTACTTAGTATAAAGCCTTCATCCAATAGTTTAAAAATACTAAGAATCAATTCCTCTTAAGTGACAATTTAAGTGCTGTATCTCATAATAATCATGCTCCTACCTCACAGCTTTTTATTTTGTGTGGATTATGTGGTCTTTCTTCATCATCAATGTCTACTTCTGACAGTCGCAACATGTTATATACTGTATCCCCTGTAACCTATCAAATTAAAAATATAATATAATTGAAAATTATTGCACTCATCCTTTGAATTAAGAGAAAACCTTTGAAAGTATTTTTCAAATAATTAAAAGGAAATTTCATATGATTACATAAAATATATACATTTAATAATGTAAATAAAGCAACTTTATCTTAAAGGAGAAAAGCATGGATGGAGATCAATCCCTCAATAAGTGTTTTGGAAATTTCCAATATATATTTAATGTAAGTTTTTATTAACAGTATAATGCCAAATAATCTACTACTAAATGACAACTTTTCATTCAAAGATCATAAACAAATTTAAACTTTGGAATAGGATAAAATAAGCAAATAATAACAATAACAATGTCGTAAATGCTTTAGAGACGTTATCTCATTTGATGCTCACAAACATCCTAAAAGTAGGAACTATCATTATCCTTCTACAGATAAGAAAAATGAGGCTTAAAGAAGCTATAGAACCAACAGTGATGGCCTTTCTAACTTCTAACTATGCTACACATTGTCTCTGATGTGTTAGTTATATAATCCCAATTGTAAAAACTGATGCAGAATGGCAACTTAAATCTCATTTTATTATACACTCTTATTTTTAAGAAATAAATGGAGGGAATCTATAAACATCAGACAGACTGTATTGGAGTGGCTCAAAACAATGTGCCAATGCATATTTCTTAACCCATTGTTATTATTAATAAGTATTAACCAACAACATTGCAATATATGGTTTTAGTATGATTCCCTTCATTCAGTGTTTCTCAAGAGTTTTAAAACAACACCAAGCTTTCCAATTGTACTGAATTTGTTTTTTTCCCTTTCATCATCACAAACTCTAGTTTTGCCCGGCATATGGGGAAACCATTCTTACTGAACCAGCAGAGGGCGCTGACACACTAGTGATGTCTAATATGCCTAAGACTTAAAACATATAGAAATATATTTATGAGAAGGGAGAAGAGTGAGAGAAGAAAACCTTCAGAATCCCTTTTTAAAGGGAATTGTTGAAAATTCTATAGAAAGGACATTCCCTAATATGACATTAAATGTGAGCAGGATTAAATAGGTACTATTCAAAGTAATATTTACAATAAGAAGTTTCAATGTCAACACAAATTCCACTTTAGACTTTAAAAAAGCCATCATTAAGAAACTAAACTTTAAACTACTAAATGTTATTACCTAAATGTGTTTCCAAAAATGTAAAATCAATACTGGCTAAGTGGCACATTATTAGCTCATACCATTACTATGGTTTTAAAGAAGACATATACTAAAGTCACAACTAATGAGTGAATTGAAAGATGCAAAAAAGAATTTAGCTGCTCCCTCATAGTGCACTATAATAGGAATATAGTCCATCATTTTTGAAAAGAATAAACATATCCTATGGAATGTTTTGATGAAGGTAACTCTTAGATAAGTTAATCATATGTATCTTAGAAGTCTAAGGAATAACATAAAACCAAAAACTGAACTGTAGGTTTAAAATCACTGGACACTAACCTTTCCAAAGATGGTATGCTTATTGTTAAGTTCATCCGCTCGACCCAGTGTGAAGAAAAACTGGCTGCCATTATCATGAGAACCAGCATTTGCCATGGCAACCAGGCCTCTCCGATTAAAACGCAACCGTGAATGAAATTCATCCTGAAATACAAAAAAGATCTAGTGAATGTCCTCAGTTATAAGACCCGTCATATGCAGTTATTTAACTTGACCCGCAAGGTCCCGTACAACTTCTAATAAAAAATGCAGACATTTTACTTAATTGATTTTTGAGCACTTACTATTCTTTCAATGTTATTAAACTTGAATTCACTAGACTGTATTTTCTAAATATACTCATACAGAAATATACCCTATTTTATAGAAAGCTGCTTAGTTATACCCAAAGGAAGAGTACCCAAGGGGGAATGGATTTCTAATTTATTTCCCTATTCTCATCCCAAAGTCAGCCAAGCTTTTGAAATCTTCTCTTACTTCTCCCAGAACACTACCTTTGAGCCATTGCAGAGTCTTCAATTATTACTCCTTCCCATCTCATTCTAAATGTCATTAAACAATTGCTTTCTTCTTGTTTTTTAATTCAAATAATCTACTATCATTGTGTCATGTAATTTTACCATGTCTTTTTAAAGTCCTAAGTTGAATCTTCTCTGAAATGGCACTGATTCTATTTGCCAGTTTTCAAAAGAGCAGGAACAAGTCTTTCTAAGGTGGTTTTCTCACCACGATAGGTCTACTTAACAAATATATTAGTCTCTTAGTTAACAGAATTTCCTTCCAACCTGATATTGAAGTCATTTATAAATGTAGCCATGTTATATCATAAATGCTTTTCACAAAGGGAGATTTTTTCCTTAATAAATAATTCTCAAGAGATCTGAACTCAATGGATCACAACTCTGTATACTGTATTCTCTGTATACTGTATTCAAAATGACCTAATTGAAAAGTGTAACAAGATAACTGTATTACCTGAAAATAATGAAGCAAAAATCTCAAGTTAGGAAGGAATTGTCAAAAACAACTATTCCGTTACACTAAATAAAAGAATAAAAGAATGTTTCCGACTAGACGAAGTACCTAAAATCATGAGAAGTCTTGCCATGGTAAAATATAAAACAGTCTAAAAGTGACATCTGAGACTTTTAAAATAACTATTCCAAATTTCTAAGGCCATTATCATCTGGAAATTAAAGCAAATAGTTCAAATATTTTCTTCAAGAATGACACAATGACTTGGTAAAAGATGAAAGGAAAATGCAGACAATCTATTCCATTAGTATAAAAATGAATTTTTCAAAAACTCCCATATTTTAAGAGATACTGTTTACTCATTTAAAGAACATGATATCGGTGCCATCAAATTAATAACAAACACAACTTTTAGCTTTTACTTGAACTTGCTATTGTTCTTAATATCTTCACTATGACATTAACTCTTTTTCTTCTTAGATCTATGTTGGCAGATAAGAAATCACTGACCTATTCTTGATTAATGCATCTTTTACAGACAATTTATTTATTTATTTATTTTTTTGAGACAGAGTCTCACTTGGTCGCCCAGGCTAGAGCACACTGGTGCGATCTCAGCTCACTGCAACCTCCACCTCCCAGGTTCAGGCAATTCTTCTGCCTCAGCCTCCTGAGTAGCTGGGATTACAGGTGTGTGCCACCATGCCTGGCTACTTTTTGTAATTTTAGTAGAGACGGGGTTTCACCATTGGCCAGGCTGGTCTCAAACTCCTGACCTCAAATGATCCGCCCCCCTTGGCTTCCCAAAGTGCTGGAATTACAGGCATGAGCTACTGCACCCAGCCTGATTTTTATATACTACTGTGAAATGTTTTTTCCTCTTGTGGAACACAATCATTTTCGATTAAGCAATCCAAACTGACTTGGAAATAATAACAACAAAAATAGTAATAAAAATAATAATTCAGTCTTACTTTGAATGGTGCTCCATAGATAGACTCTCCACCACTCCCTGTGCCAGTAGGATCTCCGCCTTGGACTATAAAACCAGGCACAACTCTATGAAAAATGGTATTGTCATAATAAGCTGAAAAAAAAAAATTTATCAATGTCTAAAATTAATCATATCTACAGTTACCAAAATTAATACAGCTAGAGTCAAAAGATTTATTTTCCAGAACGTTAAATAGGCTCCCAAGCCAAAACCTTTTGTATCCTCCTTCTTATAAAATAGTTACTTCTCAAAACAGCACACATTTCTACAGAAACCATCATTGCTGACTTTTTGTTTTTATTTCTAGGATTCTCTCAAACTCTGGATTCGTTTTCAAAATAGAAATTAAAGAGTTCCAGCAGGAAGGAGCAGCAATTTTGTGCCCCAGGGGACATTTGTCAATTTCTGAAAATATTTTTCAGAAATGGGGGATACTATTGGCATCTAGTGAGTAGGGGGCAGGGATACTGCTAAACATCCTATACTGCAAAAGACAGTCCCCACAACAGAGAATTACCAGCCCAAAATGTCAACTGTGTGGAGACTGAGAAACCCCGGCAAAGATGAACACCTTATTTCCGATTGCTTCCTCTTTTCCTCACAGAAAATTAATTTATTAATATACAAACTCATAATACATCAAAATTACTTATTAGTTATAGGTCTGGAACCATCAATACACCCTCCTCAAGAAACTCTGAATAAACAAAACAAATAACACAATACATACTTGAGTCCAATTAGCTCAATTGTTTTGCTAAATGATTGAAATAAATTATTCATATTTATATGTAATTCAAAAATATACAATTGGAGTATATAATTTAGAACTCATAAATATACAGGACAGATTGTATATGACCTCCCATACTATATATTATCTGGAACCTAAAATCATTAGGGTACTTCATAGAAGAAAAGGAAGTTAACTTGGGAATGGCAGAAGCATGGCATCTCAGTGAGTCAAAGCATAAGTGAAAAATTGAGTGGGGAGCAGGAATTAGAGTTTGCCTGAATAAGAGAATTTACATTAAGAAGTAGCAATAATGGCCAACACGCATAAGAAAAGATGCTCAATATTATTAGTCATTAGAGAAATGCAAATCAAAACCACAATCAGATACTATTTCACACCCACTAGAATGGCTAACATCAAAAACCTTAAAAGAGTAAGTGTTGGTAAGGATGTGATGAAACTGGAACCCTTTTACATTGCTGGTGGGAATATAAAATAGTGTAAAAAGTTAAACACAGAATTAGCATGTAATCCAGCAATTATGCTTCTAGGTGTATGTGTATACAAGTAATATATATGTTTATATATTAATATATAGTTTTTAAGTGTAAATATACATAGTTCGCATAAACAATATATAATATATAAGTAATTATAATAGTAGTTATAAGTAATTTTGATATATATTATTTGATATATAAACAATATATAATATATATATCACTGTGCACATGATCAGATTTGCTTTTATGAAATATCATATATTTATATATATTATTTCTATATATATCCAAAAGAATCGATTGTTTACATATACATCCAAATTATATATATGTATATATATCCAAAAGAGTTGAAAACAAGTACTCAAATACACACAAATGTTCATAGCAGCACTAGTCACAAGAGCCAACAGGTGTGAACAATTCAAATGTCTATCAACGGATGAATGGATAAATAAAATGTGATATATACATATGATGGAATATGACTGTCACGAAAAGGAATGAAATACTGATACATGCTACAAAATGGATGAACTTCAAAAATATGCTAAGTGAAAGAACCCAAACACAGAGTCACATACTGTCTGACTCCATTTATAAGAAATATCTAGAATAGGTAAATCTGCAGAGATGGAAAATAGATTGGTGGTTGCTGGGGGCTGTGGGTGGAGAAGGGGTATATTATTCCATTCTCACACTGCTATGAAGAAATACTTGAGACTGGATAATTTATAAAGGAAAGAGGTTTAATTAACTGACAGTTCCACATTGGGCAGAGGCCTCAGGAAACTTACAATCATGGTGGATGGCAAAGGAGAAGCAGGCACTTTCTTCAGGTAGCAGGACGGAGTGAGTGCAAGCAGGGGAAATGTCAGATGCTTATAAAACCACCAGATCTTATGAGACTCACTCATTATCACAAGAACAGTAAGGGAGAAAATGCCCCTATGATCCAATCACTTCCACCTGGTCCTGCCCTAGACATGTGGGGATTATGGGGATTACAATTCAAGGTGAGATCTGGGTGGGGACACAGAGCTGAATCCTATCAAGGGGAGAATAGAGAATGACTGGGTTCATGGATACAGAGTTTTCTTTCGGGGTAATAAAGTGTTTTATAACTATACAGAGGTGCCAGCTGCACAATACAGTGAATGTACTAAATGACACTGAACTGTACACTTAAAATGATTAGTTCTATGTTATATAAACTTCCCCACAGGTTTTTAAAAAAATCCTTTAGGTGGAAGGAAAGAAATTATTTTACATCACTGAAATTAGTTCTGTACTTACATTAGGTAAGCACAAGAGGAAAACATATGTAGTATGAAGTACTGAATAAACAAAAGCTATTATTTTTGTTGTTGTAAAAACAAACAAAAAGCAAGTAGCAACAAAGCAGGTTGTGGTTGAACCAACTATTGAGTTAGGCAGACATGATTCAATCACATGCTTAGGGTTACAAAGCAGAAAGATGTAAAGAGCACAGTTCCCTAAAGATTTCACTGAGCTTCCCTAAAGATTTCACCAGATTTCTTGACATAGAGGATGATAAATGTCTTTATTATTTAAATCATTTTAAGTTGGGTCTTCTATTACCTGCAACTGAATATAACCTGAATATAACTCATTCAATAAAAAATATGTATCAAGTATCTACTGTGGGCCAGGCATTTTACTGATACAATTACTGACATAATTTATAAAGTTCCTATTTTAGTGGCTTGGAGACACCCTCATAATTATTTATATTTGCAAAGCATAACTGGATGTACAATGCATATTTTAAAAAATATAATCTGTATTCCAACAACTGTATTTAGTACACAGTACGTAAGAAGAAGTAGAAAGGAAGACCAGCTGACTTTGCTTACTCCCTTCTCCCAGTGCAGGGCAGTTGGGCTGTATTTACAAGAGCTCCTGAGTGCAGACAAGTTCCCTCTGGTTACAAATACACACTATAAAAAGCAAAAGGTCTAAAAGTATCTCTCCTATATTCCTAGGTAACTGTTTAATGAGTTACACTAACACTGCATGTAGCAGTCAGGAGTTTGAATCTCGCCTTTTGCTAGCTATACAATCTTAAACTCCATTTTCTCATAAATCTAATAACATAAATTAAGGCACAGTGTCAATCTGAAGATTAAACAATGTGAAAGCAAACTACACATTTTCAAGTTCAACACAAATATGAGGTCAAACTAATATCTTCACTCAGATGCTACAAATTCATATTCAAATTTGAGTATAAAATATACACAAGTATATATCATATAATGAATATTCCTCTAGACCCACAATAAGCAGTCAACCAATACTTTTTAAGCACTGTGCACATGATCAGATTTGCATTTTCAAAACATCATTCAAATACCCAGGGTGAATATATGAACATCATTTTAGTTGAGGGCCATATCTGAGACTGCGCTCTTACTTGTTCATATTTTTATTCATTTGCTTTTAAATTCCAGAAACCATGCTTTAAAAAAACTAATATGAGTGTTTCAAGATCTAGAAACAGGGTGAATATATTAGAAAGAGACATGACTGGAGAGAGAGGGGGACTGAGAGACAGAGAGAGAGAACGAAAGAGAGAGTGCAAGTACATGCGACAGAGAGCCAGTTAGAGAATGCAAGCAAGCAACTACTGCCCTGAGAGTCATTAGGTAACTATGGCTTATCTTGAGATACACAGACTCGAGAACTACTTTTGAAGCAAGATCCATAAGACCCACATATATGTTACCTGTGAGGGAAAAAGGGCAGGAAAGAGGTCTGTTTTACTTGTGTTTTCAAATTTTACAATTTTACCATTTTATTTCTTTTCTCCTATTTCCCATTAAGTGTTTCAGTGATGCTTTTTATTTTAAGATTTTCTTTATGATTTTCCTAGTTATATTCCTGTTGGATGCATGAAATTATTATAATACCATATATAAATGAGTAAAAATTTTCTATACTCTCTACAGTATAACTTTGTATTCCAACATAGCTGGAATTTCCAATATCCACAAATCTTCCATATTTACTATTTCAACTTCTTTGTAATTTATTAGTAATCACTATTGAACTATGCATTTATAGTTGTATTTATAGTTTATGATACCCTATAATATATTTTGCTGCTTGCAATGTTTGCTTTTCTTAAATTTTTATGTATCATCACAAGTATTTTGAAAAAGTTTTATTATTTCATTATGCATGTTCATAATATCCTCCTGAATGTTCTCCACTATTGAAAAAAGATACCTAAATGTATCTTAAATATGAAACAAAGTTCCTATTTGATTGCTGTCATTCTAGTATTTGTCACATAGTTTTTATTTCTGGCTACAATAATATATGGGCATTATCATATATTTTGAATAACTGCATTTCTTGCCCAAGTTCACAGAGGAATTTATATTTGCATTTTAAAGTAGTTATACGTATGGGGAGGGGGGAGGGGGGAGGGATTGCATTGGGAGTTATACCTGATGTAAAGGACGAGTTGATGGGTGCTAACCAGTTGATGGGTGCAGCACACCAACACGGCACAAGTATACATATGTAACAAACCTGCACGTTATGCACATGTACCCTAGAACTTAAAGTATAATAATAATAAAAGAAAAAAAAGAACAATAGATATTAATAAATATTCTCCCAGTCTTTTCACAAAAAAAAACCCAATAAAGTAGTTATACATTTCTTCTTCTAGAATCCTGTTTTGTGTTTATGTAAATATTAACATTAATAATAACTTTTTATCTAACACTCATCCTGTGACCAGTCTGCACTATTTACTCCAGCCTCTCTGGTATTTTTTTTAAACAAGTATTTCAGTTTTGTAAAGAAATTTGTTTTAACTTGTAACATATTTATGCTTATATTTGTCACTCTAAAGAATTAGTAAACTATTATTAAAGAATAAAAGATAACCAATAAAGTGTGGACCATGATGAGACAAGAATGATGTAAAATAAAGGTGAAGAGAATAATAGTTACACAATGTATTAAACATTTTGATTTTCTTATCCACTTCTCCCTCTGCTCCCCACTTGTCTATAAAACAAACATAAAATTATACTCCTTCTTCACACTGGAGGAACTAATGAAATTATCAAAGCTAATAAGCTTCCCTTTCATTTCTTTATATATTTTTGCACTATTTTTTAAATGATAATTTTTTTAAAGTTCTACTCATTTTAAATGTCCACCTAACTATGCTGCAAAGACCAAAAATCTAAGATTAAGTCTGTATAATGGTTTTGGTTTTGTAAAGGCTATAAACCATCCTTTGGCTATGAACATCATTTTAGTTGAGGGCCATATCTGAGACTGCGCTCTTACTTGTTGATATTTTTATTCATTTGCTTTTAAATTCCAGAAACCATGCTTTAAAAAAACTAATATGAGTGTTTCAAGATCTAGAAACATTACGACTCATCTAAATCATAGAAGCAAAGAACTAAAATGGGGTTTTCTGGATTATATTTTTGAAACCTTGACTTAACTCATTTAGGAATATCTTTGTTTAAATCAGTCTTCTTAGGCTGCATGTTAGCCTTTCCAATAATAATTCTATCTCTATTCAATTAAGAGGATTGGTGAATTTGATTAAGAGAATTATTCTGGTTATTTTTAAAATTATTTTTCTATTCTTTCTTCTTTCTCCTTGCATTATTACAAATAGGTGAATAATTGTTTGTTTTAATAATTGAGTTTCATTATCACCCAGTTGAAGAACCTCATTTCTTCATTTCTTCTTCACTGTCACATTGTATCCAGATGTTTTCTGCTTCTTCCATTCACCTGGTCATGGATTGCAATTTACCATTCATTCTTTCTAATGTTTTTGTAATTTCACTCTCCTTCTGTAAAACTTGAGCTTTTGAATCTTCAAAACTTCTTACCAGAAACAAGTCTGACTTTGCCATGTCTCTTGTGTTTCTCAACTTGGTTAACAGATATTTGAGGCCTCTCTGACTGAACTACCTGCCTGACTCTATTTCCTTCCTGCCTGCCATAGCAATTATTAATAATGGTCTTTGCAGATGTCCTTTCATTCTCTCTCTCTCTTTCTCTCTCCACCCCTCCCCACCTCTCTCTTTTGGAGGGGGGTTGGTATCTGGGCATTTTTCATTTCTTAAATCTTCACCTGGTAATTACGTTTATCTGACTATTTAGAGAGCTCTCATCATACCATACTACTGAATTCTCTTTCACACCTTGCTTCTGGCCCAAAATGCTGTTTTCTGATACCTCGAATAAAACTGTCTCTAAAAATCAAATATAACTTAGAAGAACAAAGACTTGCCACCACTGGAGATATTCCAAACCATATGCAATGTATTCTAGAAGCCAACAAAAAGCTCTAAAAATGGAAGGTTTAGTTCCCTAAGAGAATACTCTGAAGGGAAAAACACTTAAGTGGATGTATAATTCTGCAGCATTTTAAAAAAAGAAAAATAGTTACTTTATTACTCAAATCTAAAAAAACTAGAGATAGTGATAATATCACTGGATGCTAGCTGGAAGGCTGTGTGGAGAAACTAGAATTCTGAACATTTAAAAATGGGTAGACTTAAACGTAAAAAAGGGAAGAAAAAGCATATCAATAAAAGGGGAATTAGTATGAGGATATGTATGAAAGTGGAAACAGAAAGGAAATGCTTAGGAAATAATATTCAACTAAAACCATGTGGTTAGTACAATGAGGTAAAAAGTTGGATAGCTAGGAAGCCAAGCTGCCTGAGGATTGAAATAGCATATGAACAAGTAAGAGAGAAAAGAAATTAAAGATGAAAGACAGGAAGGGGAGCAGGCAAGAGGCAATTACAGTCATACAGGTGAAAGGCAGACTCGGGAAGAAATTGGTAAATTTGGTTTTACACTGGTTTTGTTATAGCTAACAATGGAAGACTCCAGTTGAAAAGTCCACTAGGCAATTAGATACGAATATTAGTACTAGGAAGAGAAGAAATGACTGAAGTTCTAAATGTGGTAGTCATTTGGATTGAAGTAACAACTAGAGAGTGATGATGACAGAGAACTAGAGGCAATCTTGGGGAATACCCAAATTTAGAGAATGAAAGAAAGAAGTGTAAGATAGCAAAGAAGACCAAAGAGGATCACAGTATTATTTGTTGAGATAAATTGCTCTGTTGAAAGTATTCAAATTTATTTTGGGTAGTTTTTATCTCTTATCTCCACTTCCTGACACCCAGTTCAATACCATATCCTCATAGCAACACCTGTCACTCATGACCACTATTTAACACTAGTCTTCAATGTTTGTGAAGAAGACACTGCAGTTTATTTTTAAATTGACAAAAATTTCTCTGGTAGAATAAAAGTCATAAGTTATAATTTACCTTCCAAACAAAGTTGGATAAAATTTCTGCAAGCTTTAGGAGCTTCTTTGGACCACAACTCTATGTCAATATCTCCAGCTGTAGTTTTCAATAAAACCTGTAGAAAGAATATTACATTTTATTAAATTATTATTTTGCTTAATAATCAGTTGAATGACTCTTTGACTTGTAGCAATCACTAGTGAGTTTTCAATTTTAAAAGAAATATTAAAAATTGTGTTTGGCTTTTGTTGATATACTCAACAAAATGTCAAATATTCACTACAACTCATTGTACATTTAGATCTTTCAAAATACCATTTCAGAAAAAGTTTGGGATTTAAGGAAAAAAAGCATATATCTTTTTTAATCACAGAAAAAAACTTCATTCATTTAAAAAATGGTAATACCTAAAGTGAGAAGTTCACTTGAGGCTAGGAGTTCAAGAATAGCTTTGGCAACACAGAGACCCTGTCTTTAAAAAAATTTGTTTTAATTAGCCAGGCATGGTGGTGTTCCATGTTATTTGGGAGGCTGAGGTGGGAGGATCACTTGAGCCTGGGAATTTGAAGTAATAGTGAGCTATGATCATGCCACTATATTCCAGCCTGGATGACAGGGCAAGACCCTGTCTCAAAACAAAACAAGACAAAACCCCAATAATGCAAATTTGTTATAATCGAGTTTCCCATTGCATCAACTCCAATAAAACTATATAGCAAATTAAGAAATTAAAGAATAATGAACCCATTAAGTTGTGATATTACAATACAATTTTATAATTGCCCTTTTTAATTACCTTTTACTTTCTCTGCTCATTTAACATCATGCTATTCCTAATTTACAGAGGAACATTCTTAATCTAACTCTGGTTTGTAATTTACTAAAATATTGTCTTAAAATCACCTTCTATAGTAAATAGAATCCTTTGATAGCCTTTCCACCAGCTCATAACAGCAGATACTCCTTGGCAGAACCAGAAACTTTCCAACAACTAAAACCCTCCCTGCTGGGCTCCCAGGAAACAGTTTATAATTGTCTTATTTGTAACCACAAATAACCAAAAAGCATGTTAGGCTCTAAATTTGAACATTGTGGCACAGCTGGAAACCAATTTCTCCAGTATTACTTCTTCTTTTTTCTCCCCTCATATACCAAAGTAATCAGTGTCAATAATTTGTGATCATCACAATCTTTTAGAATGCTCTTGCAAGTAAAGGGTATGCAATGTAACTGTTCAAATACATGAGCCTGTTTCTCATGGAAAGTCAGTATCATCGATATTAAGTCACATTTCACCACCCCAAAAAGAAACCCTGTATCCATTAGCAATCACTCCCTATTTACCCCTACTCCTACTCTCTGGCAACTATTAATCTACTTTCTGTCTATGTAGATTTGCCTATTAAACATTTCATATAAATGGAATCATACAATATGTGGTCTTTTGTGTCTGGCTTCTTTTACTTAGCATAATGTTGCTTTCAAATTACATAGGGCTTTCAGTTCTACACATCTAGTTTTCAAATGTCTTGAAAATCACAATGACTTTATACTCTTACTGGTAAATATTTCAAGACACAATATATATTTAAGGCAAAGTTCACCATTAAAAATAATAAATAGAAATCCATATTTACAATGGTCTTCATAATAATTTCTGATTTTTTTGACAGATTTCCCATGCTGAGGTATCAGCTCTATCATGTTCTTATGATTTGCTTGTTTATATTATTAATATTATTTTCAATAAGAAATTTGTGACAGCTGGGTTAGTTAATCTAAATACTATGGTCTATAAATCTATTTGGCTAGTCATTATGAAAAATTACATCACAACGCCAAAAAAGTGCCCTTTTTTTTTTTTGAGACAGAGTCTCGCCCTGTTGTGCAGGCTGGAATGTAATGACGCAATCTCGACTCACTGCAACCTCTGCCTTCCAGGTTCAAGCAATTCTCCTGCCTCAGCTTCCCGAGTGGCTGGGATTACAGGCGCGTGCCACCACGCCCGGCTATTTTTTTGTATATTTAGTAGAGATGGGGTTTCACCATGTTGGCCAGGCTGGTCTCGAACTCCTGATCTCATGATCCGCCCGCCTCGGCTTCCCAAAGTGCTGGGATTACAGGCATGAACCACCGCGCCTGGATTTTTTTTTTTCTTTTTTTTTTGAGACGGAGTCTTGCTCTGTCTCCCAGGCCGGAGTGTAGCGGCGCGACCTCGGTTCACTGCAACCTCCACCTCCCTGGTTCAAGCAATTCCCCTGCCTTAGCCTCCTGAGTAGCTGGGATTACCGGCGCACACCATCATGCCCGGCTAATTTTTTTGCCTTTTTTTAGTAGAGACAGGGTTTCACCCTGTTGGCCAGACTGGTCTCAAACTCCTGACCTCAGGCAATCTGCCTCAGTCTCCTAAAGTGCTGGGATTACAGGCATGAGCCACTGCGCCTGGCTATCATCTTTTTATGTATATTAAATAATGCATTTAAACAAACGAAAAAAAATACAAATATATATAGATTTTCTCCCCACAGCTCATGGATGGTTTTGCACATCCACTGAAGTATGCACTTACTGGTTTAGAAACCACTGCTCTAATGAACATACTAATTACATCATCCCCCCCTCCACAGGCTCTGGAATCAGGATGCCCAAATTCAAATACTAACCCTTCCGCTTACTAGCTTTGTTACCTTGTGCACACTATCTGACATCTCTGTCACTTAATTTCCTAATCTAAAAACAGGGATAATGATATCTTTTAGGATTTCTGTGAGGACAAAATGAGCTATAATACATAGACTGCTTAGAAAAGCACATGATAAATAATAAGTGCTCAAAAAATGATGGTCATTATTACGTGGTTTTTTTTTTTTTTTTTTTTGGCTAAAGGCAACTTACACCTAGTAAAAAGAATGCATATGTAATCAGGCCACCTTGCTCACCAGGGTTTCTTAATCTTTTCATTAATAAGCTACTGAATTAATAAAGAAGGTATATGGCTCCTTCCTCCTCTGGCCATACATTCTCTTTGGCCATCACTACTTTGTAGGCCTCCTTGGCTCTTTCTCTTAAAATTCCCAATTAATACTTTGATAATATCATGTTTCTTATAAATATATATGCAAATATACTTATAAAGCCATTTTGATTTTCAATACATTTAAAAACTAAGTGTGTACAACAATAAGACAGACCCCTATCATTTGAAAGCAACATTATGCTAAGTGAAGACGCCAGACACAATTTAGAATAAGTGATCATAATATGTGGAAATTTCATCTTCAGGGAATTACCTCTTATGCTTAAAAAATTTCTATCAAGTACTATATTTCTTTGCCTCATCTTCAGGGGCTAGGGTTACAGCAAAACACAGAACATTTATGGACAACCAGGGACCAAGCACTGGTATCATTATCAATTACTTCCCAAGCTGATACTAAGCTCTTTGAAGGGAGGAATTTTGTCCCATTTACTCTGAATGTCTCTGTACCCTTTCAGTAACTAATGTACCATTAGATAGTAAAGGCAATAAACATTCATTGAACAGACTTATTACATTTGCTTCAAATTCTTCACATACCAAATTTTTGTCCACACTCTCAACCTTACAGAACTTAGAAGCTTTAATATCTTTGATGAGCCTTATGGTGGAAAAAGTCCCAAGTTGTTTTTGGATGAAAACTTGGGCCCTTGTGTTATCATTCAGCCCATTTCTGTTCAGAAGACAGTATTTATCACATTTTGTAGTTAAACATTTATTTGCATGATTATTCAGTCAATGTATACTTCACTCAATTAACTCATGATAACTCAGACAATGTGGTTTTTTTTGTTTCCGTTGTATCCCTAAAACCTAGCATAGAGCCTGGCAATTGATTTGCTCAATCATTATTTGTTGAATGAATAATCTATTCAGGAATATATCCTTGTTAAAGCTTTTCATCTATGTGACCATGTCAAATCTTCCTTTACAACAAAGCAATTAAGTCTGTCCTTGACCAGCAGCAGTGTAACCTCAAACTCACTGATGCTTAATACTCCTCAAAAAACTAAGAAAAATATAGTATTAATTCATCCATCAATTCGTTTATTCAATACATAACTGAACTCCTTCTATCATGTATCAAGTACTGTTCTAGATGCTTGTCTCTGCCCTGATGTTCCTTGCATTCTATAGGGGGAAGGTAGGAGGAAGGATACAGTAATACTAAATAATTAATAACTACCATGGAAAAAAACTAAAAAAGTTAAGGGGGCCAGAGAATGCTGGGATGCAAGGCATGATTGAAGTTTGCTATTTCATAGAAAGTAGGTAAGAAAGGACTCTTTGCTAAGGTCAACACTTGATTAAACAGAGGAACAGCAAGTGTGAACGCCCTGTCTGGCAGTATGGTAAATCTATTCAATCCCTACCAGTATTTATTAACTGGGGGTGATACTGCCCTCAAGAAACATTTGGAAATAGGAGGAGGTAGGTATTTTGGGTTTTCACATTGATATTAAATAAGATAGGTGAGGGGTGGGATGGACCCAGTAACCTACAATGCCCAGGAGAAGTTCAAAGAATTGAAAGAATTGAGCTGCCCAAAATACCCATTAAATTTTTGCTGGGAATTACAGCATTTTTGGTTTTGCTTTTAAATTGCTCTCATTATATTATCAAATGTCAATGAATAAAAGACTGCATAAATTATTTATGATGCAATCATGTAACAAACAGGATGGTATGTTGTGTAAATTTAGCTTATCTTAATTCAACTATATACTTTAAATCTCATTTTCTCCAATATGCTGATTCATCAAATGTCATATGAGATAGGCTAGGTCTCAATTTAAGAATTCAGGTGACACTTATTCCACAACGGACTCTTCAACACAAACACCTTGGATGGGAATTGGCATACATTAGCCATCAAATCAATTAGAGAAACCTTTCCCCACTCTAATGTGGTAACAGTCCCCATTTCCCACTTTCCCTGACTGACAGTCATCTCAGGTTTTAAAATCAGCTCAAAAGATACCTTTTCCATGAGGTTTTTCCTAACTTTCCCAGTTGTTCACTACTCAGTACCGCCATAGCAACCTGGTCTCTTCTCCATAAGCACGCTTATCAGACATACAGGCTTTTGTTTACCTGTCTCACAAACTAAACTATAAGCTATTCCGGGAAAACAACTACCTTACCCATCCATCTTTGTATCTCCGGCGCCTAGTACAGTGCCCAGTGCCTAGCAGGCGTTCAATTAATGATTGCAGAAGAAATGGAGAATGAATGACCTCAAAGTTAAGCAAAGAATATATCAAACTCAGAAATGTACTTTTGAAAACCTAAGACTCTAGAAATCGGTTGCATGAGCTGGGTTAAAGCAGAAAATAGGACCGGAATGCTGGTAGGTAGAGAAATCTCCACCTGACTTTTTCAAGTACGTCCTGAAAAGTATAAACTTCAGTGTTTCGATGCAACATTGTCCACATGCAGGAGTAAAGACAACACTTATTGTGGTCTCTTCCTACCACGAGATCCCGAAACCCGTCCCCCACCCCAAATTCGGGAAATCTCACTTTGGAGATCCCAGGATCCCAAGTTCCCTAGATGAGGCTCTCACCTTCCCATTCGTGGGAGGCTCCTGGATGTAGATGTTGCTCATCCTGGTCAGTACAAAGGACTCTGCTCCTTATGAGGGATTAGAGCGGACGGCCGGTCACTAAAGCTGTCCGCCTAGGAGTACACTCTTTCTTAAGTTGAGTGGTGCAGGAAAGCTTCAGTTTGTCAATATCACGCAAGACGGGGACACCAAACACTACCCTTGCCCAAAGGAGCCCCTCACGGACGCCGCCATGTTGTTACCGGACCCGAGCACCGCTAACCCTGAGAAGGGTTATTCCAGTGTACTCCAGGGAACGAGAGAAGTTTGTAAAGTTATTATACCTTAATGTAATTTGTATTACAATATTAGAAGGGACACTTCATAAGTCTTGGCTGTGTTTACACTACTGGCGTGTGCAGATCAAACTGAACTCCCCCCAAAAAACGATCAGTAATGGTTCGGACCATGTGTCTTCTGCAATATGACTCGTCCAGAAACTGCATCCGCGTCTACTGGTTCTGCTGCCGCTAGAAACGTACAGGGCCTTCCCCACCCTAGCGAAGGTGCTGCTGCGCTGGGGGAAGGAAAACGGCGCTTTGGCTGTGCCTTGTTCTCGCAGCTGGCGGGAAGCAAGCGCCACTTCGAAAGCCGGAGGCTCAAGTGACCCCTCTTACCACCGTCATGGCAGTCCCAGGTAAGGAGCAATTACAGGGCCTCTGCGTCCGAGATCCGAAGGGAGCGCAAGGGAGGGTAGGGTAGGGTGCGGGGTGTGGTGATCAGCGCCCATGGGGATTTAGGCGGAGGCCTTAAAATTCACAGGTTTGTTTTGTTTACATGAAAAAGTTTACACTCCAAAGATACACTCTGAAGGAAAGAAAGTGACTGTCTTCCTCCAGGAGCCAAGCCCCAGCTGCATGGGATTACAGGGAAAGTGTATTGTGGAAGGGAGGGAGGAGGGGGAGACTGTAACTGTGGGCCTAAGGGGGCGAGCAGCCAAGAAAAACTACCTTAACTGTGGTATGGCTTAAAACTAAAATTTGAAGTGGGAACACTTGGCCGACCCAGGTAACCAGAGGCGTCGTCTGTCCTAGAAGTCGCTAGGACCCACCGGGTGTCCGGGTTCTACTCCTAGCTCTTCCTGTTGTATGTAGCTGCTCCGTGGCCATAGATTGGTCGTTTTGTGCTTCTGGGCCTCAGTTTCCTTATAAAAAGAAGAAGCTTTGTTGAATTATATATAAGATTTATTCTAACTCTCAAATTCTGTGTCCAGAAGTTACTGACCTAAAAACGGTGAACTCTGCAGAATAATTACTTAAAAGATTTTCTCTCCTCAACTACCAGCTTACTTGGAAGTTCTAGTAGCTGAGAGCATCTCCTCAAACCGGCTTTGCCACTGCAGAACAGTGGTTGCAGGAGACATTTGCAGAAATATACACTCCTACACCCCACCTCCCAACTTGGAAATTCACAGTGCGCCTTAGTAATAGAAAAGATTCTGAGAATTACTATGGTTCAGAGACCTAACTTTGTTTAAACCTGCCCTTCCCAGCATTATTTGACCAGGTTCTTTGTTCTGTGGCAGCCTTTTTGAACATCTTTCTGCAGATAGCTGTTACTGGAACACTGTTCTTTTGTACTAACTGCAGTTTGCGAAGGAGTACATCTGGAGCTGTGAGAGAGGAAATATATACTCTTTATTAAGCCTACTGTGTGCCAGGCACTGGTACTAGGCATTGAAAATACAGTGGTGAGCAAGGTAGACATGGTTACGCTTCACACAGAACTTATAATTTAGCAGTGAAGAGAGAGAAATTTATAGAGTGGGACAAGTGCCATGACAAGGAAAATACAAGACCTTAGGAAGCACAAAGTAAGGCCACCAGACACTCAGGATGGGCAGAAGGACTTTCCAAAGGATGTAGCACTTAGGAGGTCATCTAAATTGTAGGAGGGGTGGCTTGAAGGGAGAGGATAGTGCAGTTGGAGGAACTGGATACGTAAAGGAAGAGGAAATACGTGAGAAGAGGAAATGAAAGATGTTTTCTATGGGCGGAACTCAAATACAAATAGGAGATAAGTGAGAAATTAAGTCGAGAGATAGTAACTGTAGTAAATATTGACTAATATTTATGTGTCAAATATGTCAGATACTGTATCAAACATTGTATTCTATCTCATTTAATATTCATAACTACACTTTGAAATGAGTATTAATATTCCCATTTTACAGATGAGGACACTGAGGGACAAAGAAATCCAGTAATTTGTCTATTATGAGACAGCTGGTAAGCAAGAGGTCAGTCTGGTTCCTCTAGACTGTGCATGTCATTCATTTTGCCATTGTATAGGTTAACTTCCAAGGTAGCTTCCAGCTCTTTAAGGACCTGTAGACCATGACAAGAGGTTTGGCGTTATCCTACAAATGATAGGAAGCCATTTAAGGGTTTTAAAGCAGATTCACATTTTGGAAAGATAATTCTGGCTAGAAAGTAGATTGGAGACAAAGTTTACCAGTTAGGAGTAATTCTGGTGAGTTATGATAATGTGTGGCTAAGATGTGGTCTCAACAGGTAAGGAGAGAAGCGGATAAATTGAAGATACATTTTTGATGGTAGAATCACGAGGAGTTCATAATTGATTCAATGTGGGTAGGTAAAAGAGGAAATGAGGTTTACCTGGGTTTTACTGTTAAGCAGTTGGGTGGGGCTATTTACTGATATGACAACACCTCACAAGGGGCAGGGGTTAAGGGGATGATGACATCCAATTTGGGGCTTGTTGTGTTGAGGTTAGTCAGACATAGGGATACAAATAGTTAATAGTAAGAGATATAATTTGTAGCTTAGGAAAGAAGTCAAAGACAATGATTTGGGTGTTATCCACACACATAATAGGAGGTAAGGCTATGGGAGTGGAGCACTCTGCTTAGATGGTGTGTAGAATGTGAAGGGAAGGTCTGTGGCTGAAGCCTGGTCAATATCTAAGAGGCCAGCCGCAAAAGATAAACCTACACGGTAGATTGCCTAGGCATCCTGATAGGCCAAATCAGCTCTGGTGATCTTTGTACCACACAGCTGCGCTCAAAGTTGACCTGTTGTCATAACTGCTCATTTCATTACTTGAGCAAGCCTTTTGGGCACCTGTGTGATATGGGCACTCTGGAGGAAACAGTGCCATAGTTTGTGCACTCATAAAACTTTAAGCAGTATATGAAAATGTGCTACTTAAGAAAGGGGACAAAAGTGATTTTTTAAACCCTTATTAAAATTCTCTTAAACTTAGACCAGTGTTATAGATATGTTAACCTTCTTTCAATTCAAAATAATGCTTCAAAGTATAATAATGTAAAATTGTGCTATTAAGCTAGACGATAAGGTATAGATAAACTGTTTAAACCTAGCAAAAATTGAGATAATAGGTGTGACAGTGCTGTAAAAGTACAATGCAAGTGTCATTAGAAAATACAGATACAGAAAATCATAAGATAATTTCTTGGATGATCGATCCAGACAGGGTATTAAAGGAAAATAGGACTAATCTAAACCTTTCAAGGTGATCATGAAGGAGGACAAGTATTATGTTATGCTCTTTAATTTTAGGTTTAATGGATTCAGTTTGGCATTTCTTGGGGTGGTCCTGCTGGTGATTATGACAAGGTATGATTATAAAGTAACAAGGCTGCTTTCTGCAAACCACACATAAAAATCAGCCTTGTCTGTTTTATGATCATGTGCTTCACCTGTGTTTTCATAGCATTGTGTATAAGCTTATACCATTATGTAGGTAATACAATGAAATGTAGGCATTTAGGAAAATCTTACTCTTAGTCGTTATTATAGAAATAATATTTGATCACAGGTTTCAGTGAAATTTACTTTCTTTGAGAAACTGCTTTTCCTGTTCACAGTTGTTGAAATTACCTCCAACATTCATGTCAGTGATTCACCCCTCTCCATGAAGAGTTGAACTGGCACAAGTGGCAATGTATGTTACTGATGTAGTTGGCACAAAACTGTTTTCTTGTTATCTCCTTCACTGAAGCCTATAGCCAAGGTAGGGAGTTTTTCTATGGCCAAGTTAACATTTCAGTCTGGCACATCACAGTGAATAAGATTTTTAAAACACATTATGATAGTATCTTAGTAATAGAACAATTCTAAATTACATCCAATTGCTCTTTATTCCTAAACTAGAGTATAGGTAATTTCTTTTCTCTCTAGTCTATATTGCACATTGCTGCTAAAATAATTTTCCCAAATCATTTATCTGATCCTGCCATTGCTGGGAGGCATGAACTTAGTTCTTCACCCCATCTGTGAATTTTGTAATTCTCTTCAAGCCACTTAACCTTTTGGAGATTCAGTTTTTGTGTCTCTATAATAGAGTTGAAGGCTAAGGTTTCTTAAGTTTCTAACGTGTTAAAATGCCAAATCTCCCCATCTCTCTCTGCAAGAATGAAGTGCACACTCCCGAGCCTGACTAAATCACTGTTTCTACTCTTTCCTTCCACCACTCCCCTCCTGCATTCTACAATCCTGCAAAAATCTGATTTGGCCAATTATTCTGTGAACCTCTCAAGTGCTTTCCTACCTACGAGCCTTTGTTATTACCTCCTATTTTGCCTGTAACTACCTGTGGGAAGCTTTCCTGATCTCTTAGCTGAAACTCTTGCCTGCCACTTTTTCATAGTTACTAAATAGAGCTCTGTGTCTTTTATGGAACCTGGCACATTCTGTCATGGATTACAGCTGTGAGTGCATTACCATAGGTAAACTAGTATAGTGTCGCTTCCCATGGGCTCCATGCAGCCCAAGATGACTGTGAATGCAGCCCAACACAAATTCGTAAACTTTCTTAAAACATTATGGGATTTTTTTGTGTGATTTTTTTTTTTTTTTTAAAGCTCATCAGCTATTGTTAGTGTTAGTGTATTTCGGTGTATTCTATAGTTTATACCCTCATAAAACTTTAAGCGATACATGAAAATACTACTTAAGAAAGGGGACAAAAGTGATTTCTAAGCTCTTATTAAAATTCTCTTAAACTTACACCACTGTTAGAGATATGTTAACCTTCTTTCAATTCAAAATGATGCTTCAAAGTATAATAATGTTAAATTGTGCCATTAAGTTGGATGGCAAGACATAAACTGTTTAAACCCAGCAAAAATTGAGATAATAGGTGTGACAGTGCTGAGATAATAGGTGTGACAGTGCTGAGATAATAGGTGTGACAGTGCTGAGATAATAGGTGTGACAGCACTGAGATAATAGGTGTGACTGCGCTGTAAAAGTAC